CTTTCCTAATTTTCCGTTTTTATAAGGTTTTCGAGACTTCCAGTTTATCTTATATATTTCATTTAATGGGGGGCAGGACGTATAGTTAAATTTTCCCACTGTCATTAATTGAATGTATACATTATAAGAAATAGGTTCAAAACGAGATCGAGGCGCCATAATTTTTATGCCCATAGGAATTAGGTTTCGAGACTATCAATAGATGCCTGAAACTACTTCATATGAATATAAGTAGTGTAGTCGATTGTAATGAAAAAATACGAGTTTGTCTCATCGACAATCCCACTTTAAAATGTGATATGGACACGCTTGTTCATTCTTGAAGCTCACGTTTATCCCTTAGCTCAGAGACATTCGTTAGAGGCTGGCGTGGTTGGAACATTCGAGATTATGCGCTGCGGATTCGAGCACCGCTGTAAGTGTCGCTGAGACGAGTTCGCGTGAAGTCCGTGTTGCGAATACACTTTTGGAGGCAAGGTTGGATGAAGTTGAATGGGAACGAGCGGCCAACTCTTGCGATTGTGGGAGACGTCAAGTTTCGGTCCTTCATCGCCGTCCACGATCCAGACTGACCCGTTCACTCGTATTTTTTGTCACTTGGTCTCCATTGTCCTCTCTTCGGCCCCTTTGCCCCACACCTTTCGGCTTCACCGATTGCCCAGACGCGAGGTTTTCCCAAACTGTTGCACAAAGAGATGGAATTGCAATACGTCGACGAGGAGCGGAAGCGCGTGAACGAACTGATGCTTCGGCTCGACTCGATGCCCGTCGGCAAGAGTGGTACAGCCGCCGGCGGACACGGCGGTCCTGTGCAGCATCTGCTGCAGCAGCGGTTTGCGCGACGATTCGTGCCCAAACTGATCGGCTCCGCCGGCGTTGCCGGGCTCGGGCCCGGCGGCAAGGGCTCTCTGGCCCACGCGACGACCGGGCAGCCAAGGAGCGGCCCGCTCCTGCGCTCCACCAACGGTCCGGCCAGTCGAGCCTCGCTCGCCGGCCTGACGGGCGATCTCGAGACTGCCGAGTACTTGGCCATGCACGGTACCTATCCCCTCAATCTCGGCCTCGTGAGCGAGCATGCCACGCCGGGCTCGGCTTTCAGCCTCACCTCCACTGCCGCCGGCTTCGTGTCGGGCCTCTCGGCCGGCGCCGGTACCCTCCACCGGATCGCCATTCAGCTCAATTTCACAGTCGGCGTAAGACGGATTAAAATTTAACGAGACGCTGCTGTTGCTTTGGCACAGTTATCTATAAACTATCTTTCATAATAATTTTGGAATATTAAATTCGCCGGCCTCAGCCGCTCAATGGTGACTAAATAAACATGTGTTTGGCCGTTACGCGAGGCAGTACTAATTATTTTCAATATAAGTAGTTTACTATTCTATTAGTAATTCATTAATATTAACTTTGCCCCCCTTGGCCAGTCAAGGCAATATAGGGCTTATTCTTGAAGATTCTTACAATGGTGACTAAAAAGACATGTGTTTGGCCGTTACGCAGGGCAGTACTACTTATTTTCAATATAAGTAGTTTTATATTCTAATAGTAATTCATTAATATTAACTCTGCCCGCCTTGGCTGGTCAAGGCAATATAGGGCTTATTATTAAAGATTATCACAATGGTGACTAAATAGACATGTGTTTGGCCGTTACGCGGGGCAGTACTACTTATTTTCAATATAAGTAGTTTACTGTTCTATTAGTAATTCATTAATATTAACTTTGCCCGACTTGGCCGGTCAAGGCAATATAGGGCTTAGTCTTGAAGATTAACACAATGGTGACTAAATAAAAATGTGTGGCTATTACGCGGGACAGTACTACTTATTTTCAATATAAGTAGTTTACTATTCTATTAGTAATTCATTAATATTAACTTTGCCCGACTTGGCCGGTCAAGGCAATATAGGGCTTATTCTTGAAGATTCTTACAATGGTACCTAAATAGACATGTGTTTGGCCGTTACGCGAGGCAGTACTACTTATTTTCAATATAAGTAGTTTTCTATTCTATTAGTAATCCATTAATATTAACTTTGCCCGCCTTGGCCGGTCAAGGCAATATAGAGCTTAGTCTTGAAGATTCTCACAATGGTGCCTAAATAGAAATGTGTGGCTATTACGCGGGACAGTACTACCTATTTTCAATATATTGAGTTTTACATTCTATTAGTAATTCATTAATATTAACTTTGTCCCCTTGTCCGGTTAAGGCAATATAGGGCTTATTCTTTAAGATTCTTACAATGGTGACTAAATAGACATGTGTTTGGCCGTTACGCGGGGCACTACTACTTATTTTCAATATAAGTAGTTTACTTTTCTATTATTAATTCATTAATATTAACTTGCCGGCCTTGGCCGGTCAAGGCAATATAGGGCTTAGTCTTGAAGATTCTTACAATGGTGACTAAATAAACATGTGTTTGGCCGTTACGCGGGGCAGTACTACTTATTTTCAATATAAGTAGTTTTATATTTTATTAGTAATCCATTAATATTAACTCTGCCCGCCTTGCCTGGTCAAGGCAATATAGGGCTTAGCCTTGAAGATTCTCACAATGGTGCCTAAATAGAAATGTGTTGGCTATTACGCGGGACAGTACTACTTATTTTCAATATGAGTAGATTATATTGTATTAGTGATTGATGAATAATTACTTTGCTCACTTAGGACTCTTAGGTGAGCATGCCCCGCCGGGCTCGGCTTTCAGCCTCACCTCCACTGCCGCTGGCTTCCTGTCGGGCCTCTCGGCCGGCGCTAGTACCCTTGCATCGGATCGCCATTCAGCTCAATTTGACAGTCGGCGTAAGGCGGATTATAACTTAATGTAACGCTGCCGTTGCTTAGGCGCAGTTAGCTATAAACTATGCAAAGTAATTAGTCTTCAAAGCATCCTTTGCTCTATTTGTGCTCAGGCGACTTAGGTTTCGAGCGCAAAATGCATATCGTGACGATTTTACCATGCATTTCTATGTCTGACGTTAGTCGACAATTTGTGTAAATATACACGCAAAGGGAAAATTAGCCTATTATTTTTCATCATTTCCATATAAGTATACTTCGAGACTATTCATAATTCCGGAATATTAACTTCGCCGGCCTAAGTCGCTCAATGGTGACTAAATAAACATGTGTTTGGCCATTACGCGGGGTAGTACTACTTATTTTCAATATAAGTAGTTTTCTATTCTAGTAGTAATTCATTAATATTAACTTTGTCCGCCTTGGCCGGTCAATGCATTATGGGGCTTAGTCTTGAAGATTCTCACAATGATGCCTAATTAGAAATCTGTTTGGCCATTACGCGTGGCAGTGCTACTTATTTTCAATATAAATAGATTATATTCTATAAGTGATTGATGAATAATTACCTAGCTCGCTAAGGTCTCTCACGGTGATATATCGTATAGATTCTCACAATGGTGACTAACTAAACATTTATATGCCTCTAAGAGGGAGGGCGCTACTTTGTTTCAATACAACTATTTTTTTAGATTATTACTAATTTAGGAATAACAACTTTTCCTGTCTCAGCCGCTTTAGCTAATTTAAGAAGTAAAAGTTGAATTTTCTCCACCATCAGATGAGCATATCATGACTTTCACTCATTATTCCCTTCCCAACTATCGCTAGTGATGCTAATGGGACTTACTCGAGGTCGAATCTGTAGTCCGTCCTGGATGGGCTATGCTTTTGGAAGGCAAAGTCAGATCAAGTCACCTCAACTATCAATCTTTAAATCACGTTGGGCGACCTGTACCAACTAAGTTTCTATACTATTCTGATGAATTGTTAGGGCGAGACTGATTAAAAAATGTCTTCTTGCTTTAATAATATCTGTCGAATTGTAGGGCAAACGAAAGTTGGGAATGTCTTTATTGCGTCTCAAGGATAGCATCAAGTTTAAAGTCTCAGTGAAGCCAATCTACATCAGATCGAGAGGAACTCTGTGTTGCCTTCCGGTGACATCACATGCACACACTATTACTCGAAATAAATTCGTTTTAATGCCGACTATCAAACAAGGCATATTACTTCACGCTATTTATTATATATGAATGAGTAATTTTATACATTTTTTAAAAGCCCATTTTCTTAAATTGTTCATCTTTCTAATTTTAGTAGTTTCGACTAATCCTAGAGTTCTTTAACTTTGCTTTGATATCTAAAAGACATCAGATTTCCCCTTTTGGCAGTCATCTGACGCCTGAATCACCGAACCAGTGAATTAATTAATACAGTTCGAGCTGACGCCCGCTAGGCGGTGGACCAAAAGTGGTACATTTAGCAGGACAAGATGAGTAAAATGCATAAATGATACGCATTTTTTCGACATTCATTCCCGACTGTTTAGGATGTCCTGGTACCTATAACCTTCTTTTTTGCGATACCTTCATTCTTAGACTTTTTAGAATAGCCTTCTCTCCATGACGCTTAGATTTGAAGAGAAACCGGATTTTGAGGAATCATTTGATAGATTGCTGACATGCCTTTTACTACGCTTGAAAATGAATCTGAAAGGAATTCCTAAGTTGGCCTCACCGGAAACCGAGGCTGCTGTTGTGACGGCTACATTGTGTGGAGAAGACTCCGTCGTGATGGCTATCTTCAGAGACAGGAACCATAATTTGGAGAAAAAATCACAGAAAACTTGGTCAGCACAATTTGCTTTAGGCGAAATCTAAGAATGGATAGTTTCTTTTTCCGACAATCAAATGAGTAGGCCCCACAATTCCACTGCATTTCGCTCAGCCTCATTCAGGCTGGACTCCAGCTTCCACTTTGCCTCATCCTCTCGTGTCAGCACCTGCAGCGTCATGTGGTACCTGATCGTGGACGTTGTCGCGACGTTACTAGTCCGCCACACAGCCACAAGTATCGCAGGGTCGCATAGCAAATGGCCTGGCTTAAATCACATTTATGGCGGGAATCTCGATGAGGAAAACATGCGTTTTTCATTGTAAGTGACGACGTTGCCTGATTCCGAAGTTGTATTGTTTTTGAGAATATCACTAATTTTGTAATAAGTACATCCTTTGGAGAAGAGGATGATGTGGCAATTAGGCAAGGCGAAGCAAATTCCATGCCATCCCCAAGCGTACTCATCGGATTGTGGGAAAACTCGACTATCAGTCCTTGAATAGGAGGGCTAGTCACTCTAGGCCGAATAAGATGATGGAGGATCTGATATGGTATCATCGTGAGAAAATGCACCTGTCGGATCCTTCCTCATCTTGGGCGACCCAGATCGACAATTTCCAAACCTACGCTGTATGAATATTGGTCCTTAAATCACCTTCAACGGGCAAGGTTGAATTAGTTTTTATTTAAGAGTTACTGCTAATCTTGAAATGTGCTTATACTGAAAATGCACTAAAACACTAACCCAAGAAAGATGGCCAGTTGGAAATCTGTTTCTTCTACCCAATTTTGTGATCATATTGAGGTAACCAAGCGTTTGTCTGCCATAAACATATGCAGTCGAGTACAGTTGGTGCATGAAATTGGGACGGATGTAATCACAGCTGCTTTCCTACTACAATAAACGAGCGTATGAGGCTTGTTCTATATTTTTAGATGTACTACTCATGAGTAAGTTGACAATTTCGAGTCCAAACTAGATACCATGTTAGTCAGGCCTTCAATTCTCACTCGTTGGCTTTTTGTTCCACTCATTCTTCCCATAAGCCAGAAGTTGTTCTTGCCTAACTTCACGCACTCTTTCCGTCAATTCGAGAGGTTGTTTGCCTTCTTAATGTCAATAAACCTCCTCAATTCTCTTCCAAACTTTGGTATTTAGACCACTCTATCCCGTCTCTTGTAACGAATATATGTTCAGCTATCTCCGACTTCTGAATGCACAAACCCTTGCAGGTAGTTTTGCAGTTTGATGACCTCTTCGGCATGGATCGACATGTCTCCCCCACATGAACACACAACCTTTCAACAACCTGATCTGCAAAGGGGATCTGAGGTTTCTGTAAAAGAAGGTGTTTCCGAGGAGAGGGTTATTCCTTCTTCATACACAATCCGGAAGTTATATTTCCTCAGTAATTCGTCCATCATTTTCGAAGGCTAGCAACGCGGTATCTTTAGAAATATGAAGGAATAGTTTAACAATTCCCTATTCTGCTACAACTCACTAGTTTCTCTCATTTTCCCTCCGACTAACGCTAATGGATGGCTATTCTGAACCATCAGTTGTATAAGTCTTTCTAACTCTCTATCCTGGTGATCCACGTCCGCCAGACACAAACCACTTGCGCTAATTGATCTAGCAACCCCTAGTTTGACCCAACAAGTATAATTTTTGG